GCCGTCCTGCTGCAGGACTTAAGGTTTGCTCGTAACTTTCTTTACTTAAATCAGGGGTGTCAAACTCACTTATAAAAGGGGGCCAAAATTAAAACCTTTTTCAAACTAAGGGCCAATTTCAGAAACTACATTAACTCAAATCAGATACCCGACATCTTTCCTTGGACACAGATTCCTCAGCAAGAGTTTGATTGGTCCCATTTGATGTTCTTTGATTATGATGTTGAAAGCACAACAAAGATTACTGGAAAAATTCAAGAGATAGAAGTAGTTTACGTTTCACATGTCATCTTGGGGGCCAGATAAGATGTCGACGAGGACCACATTTGGGCCCCGGGCCTTGAGTTTGACACATGACCTACATGAACGCTGCAGAAACTAAAAAAAATTCACATGCATGGTGATCAGTCTTACTCCGCTCACGGTTTAAAGAATTAAAAATATACAACTCGTAGTTTTGCTTAGCAACTGTTTGTTTGAGACTTACTTTTCAGTCTGCTTCTATGTGCTTAAGTTTGCTGTCAGGCAGTGAGAGATGCAGGTGGTTACCATGGTGACCCAAATAAACAAGTGTCAGTGATTTTAACATTTCTTTTGATCTTGGTTATTTCACTTTTCTTTTTTATTTTAAAGTTTGATCATCAAACTGTTGGCTTTTTTTTCTCAGCTTGGATATTTACAAAATTGTGTTGGAACTTCAGGTCGCACCTGCATTGAATTTCTTCATAAATTATTTAATTTTAGACTTTTTTTTGCAGTAAAATGCTAATTACTGATATTAATTAAATTGTTTTGCAAATTGTCATTTCTTAGAGAAGATTAATGTTTTGTTGATTTATTTAAGTTATTCCACATTGTTCGGTGTATTACTGTTTGTACTATTAGTGTTTAGCATATTCTTAGTTTAGCGTATTACTTAGTTCATATCTTAGATCTTATTACTGTTTTTCTTTTACAATGTATTCTTTTGTTGGATGTAACTGGGACCTTGTGTACACAATTAAGTTCCATCACATGTACCACATGACAATAGGCATCCTTCAATACAGAAACCTTGATCTTGATTTTTTAAAGTTTTTTTTTCTCCAAACTCATCATCCTGGTGCCTTTCAAACCAAACTGGACCATCAGATTGAAGCTGGTTCATTCCAAGGACCAAACATGAACTGAGTGGAGTGATCTACACAGTCTGATTCAGAGAAGAATAATAGGACCTCTGTAAAGGAAACTAAACAACCTCCCCACATTTATGTTTCATTATGATGTCCACTCCATGGTCCACCTTGGGCAACTCAGAATGGACCTTTGAGAGGCCGAAGCTGACATTATACCATGATTGAGCTCCCAGTCCAGTTGTCTGCAGCCTTTTTCAAATAAAGAACCATTTATACCCCTTCCCTCGCTAAATAAAACTTGTCCGGAGCCGCAAAACCTGCTGCAACTGTGATTATCAACTGGTGGCCAATGGGCCACTGCCAGTTTGTTGAAGCTTTTTCCCCACTCAGTTATATGTAATGGACTTTTTTTATTTGATTTTGTTAAACATCTGATGTTTTTTTACATTGAGACAAAAACAAAAGACCATATTCATGTAAGGAATGAAAAACGTATTCAAACCAATTTTGATAGGAATTCAATCACTGAATGCTGCAGGTTTATGTGAGTCCATTTAGTTGTGGAAAAATTACCTTACTATGAAGTGAACTGGCATAAATTTAAAGTGTGTAAAGTGCAAATGTCTAGTTTGTTTTAGTCAAAGCTTAAGGGAGCTACAGCAGTGGGACCAAAGAGCCACATGTGGACCCCAGAGCCACAGGTTGCAGACCCATGTCCTGGTCAAATGGTGGCGCCAAAAGCACAATAAAAAAAAAAAACTGTGACCAGAATAACATTTTGTGAGTAGACTTTTCATTTTTCGCAGATGTGCAATTAATCACAAAGAGAACATGAAAACCTTTTTACTTTTTATCTTTCTGTGTGAAAATTTGCTTCTTTTTCTTTCCCTGAAGACACTGATCGAAGCAACACATTATCGCCCCCTGCTGGCCCAAAGTGTTAAACTGGAGAGCCATGTGCCTAACGCAGTTGAACAAAAAAATAAAAATGGTATATGAATACATGCATGCCAGCAAACTTCCAAGAGCTCAACACACAAGCATGGGACTTCTAAGTATAGATTATGAGGTTTAACTATTGTCACCAACATGATAACAAGTCTCAGCAACTGGAGCTTCTCACCTTTTTATACATAATTCATTGTGGATCAAACCTTGTCACTAAGCGCTTCCAGACCATGTGGGACCACTTCACATCCATTATACCGTTCAAGGTCGTTCACCTTCTCTTTGTTTTTGCAGTGGTGATACTGTTACCATTTGTGGTGCACCGGTGCTCATAACTACATTTATCTGATCTTTTTTTAGCTTCAAGCACTTCCATGCCTCGTTAAGGACTCTCAAATCGCATAAAGAGATGTGATTGGTCCACCCATAAGCGAACACTCATTGGCCGAGCACATTGAGCGCTCTTCAAACAGCTGCACATTGCCATTGACTGCTTTTGTTCAGCACAAAGTAAACTGATCTGATGTTTGAGTCTGGGCTTCTATAACTCTTCCTTTGGAATATTGGAGGATATGCAGTGGAAGTGGTCTCCAGCTACAAGTACTGGGGCGTGCACCTGAATGACAACCTCAGCTGGGGCAACAACACCACCAGCCTGATCAAGAAAACTCATCAGAGACTCTACTTCCTCAAGTGGCTGAGGCGAGCTGGACTGGCAAGCTCAGTCCTCACCTCCTTCTACAGGTGTGCAGTGGAGAGCATCCTGTGCTCCAACATCAACATGTGGCATGGAGGCTGCACAGCTGCAGAAAGGAAAGCTTTGCAGAGAGTGGTGAAAGCTGCACAGAAGTCTGTTGGAGTCAGCCTCCCCACCATCACAGACATCTACACCACTAGATGCAGGAAGAGGGGCACCTGCATCATGAAGGACCCCACTCACCCAGCACACACACACTTTTTGTCCCGCTCCCCTCAGGAAGGAGGTTGAGGAGCATTAAGTGTAGAACCACTAGACTGAGGAACAGCTTCTACCCTGAGGCTGTTAGACTCATGAATCCCTGATCAGGATTATCACTGTGAAAAAAAAATCATTGTAATTGGTGAAATGTGACTTTATCTGTGCTGCTGATTTCTTGCCTTTTAGCTGCTGTACTCCCATCTGCTCACAACAGACTCATGTTCAGGCTGATGTTTAATATAACATATTATATTATTATTGTTTAGAGTATATCTTAGATCTTGTATAATAGATTTTCTTTTTATACTTTATATTTTTGCTATTTTTGGGTGTAACCGGGACCCTGTGTACGCAATTTATTTCCACTTCATGTACCACATGTGATGCGAATGACAATAAAAAACCTTGAACTTTGATTTGTAGCTGTGTTTCAAACTCTGCCCCTCAGCTCCAACAACTGAGTCTCCCATTGTTGTAGGTGAATGTCACGAGCACAAGTGACGTGGCCGTGCTGCCTTAGCCTTTTACAATCAGTGTTCAGTTGGTAATGAAAACCAAACACCTTTTTGTATCTGCTCCATAGAGGAACTAAAAGTCCCTGCAACCCTCAGGGTTCCTCTGGTATCCAAGAACTGGTATAGGCCCTTTGTACCTCAGCTGTTTTCCTCCTTTATGTTAATAACTGAAGCATTTAACAAGAAAATGCAACTTGTTCCATAAAAAGCACAAATTTGACATCACTTTTTAAAAGAAATAAATATATAATTATTAATGCGATATTCAGAACTAATATCCAGGTCAAAAACACAGAAAGGCTTCAGTTGAGGTTAAATCATAGTTCCATCATCCTGTTTTATATGAGTTTGATACATTGGAGAACAAACACAAGATTTTTGTCTCATTTATGTTTTTTCAGATCTCCCTGAGGTTTTTCCTTCACCTTTACAGCTTCTGAAGGGACAAAGCAAATAGTTTGAGATATTTTCATCATATTACAGGTACAGTTCCTCACCCAGGTGCAAAATCCCTTCCCTACATGTGGTTTGAATCTTTTATTAGTTCTGTAGGTTTTATTGTAATGAGTTCTATGAAATCTCTGATGGGATTTGGGTTATTCTCCAGGGAATCGTGGACCCTTAGTTGTCCTACATATAGTAAAAGATACTTTAAAGGTCACCGGTCTTCCAAAAACAGACTGAAAAATAAATTCACATTTCTACGTTATGTTTTAATTAAGTTTGTAATGAGATGAATAAATAAACAAGAGCAAATTGTTTCCTCAACAGTCCAATAAAATGTACATACAGAATAAGCTGATAACTTCAAGGCACATTTATATACTGTTTTGCTGAAACATATTGTTGCAAAAAAAACAACATAAAGGTGGTTCATAAGGAGATTAAACATACGGGGGTTGTGCTTTTTTTGCTGCTCTGTGTGTCACCCACCATCAACTAAAAATAATGGTGATCCCTTTGCTGTGATGATGAATTAAAGTGGAGGTGCAGGTGGGAGCTCTGTGGCCTGACGCTTTGAGTTTTTAATGAGTGTGACCTTTAAATTTATTCTAAAGCTGAGGAAAGAACAGTTTGCATATGGTACGAGAATTTAACAGGGATCTAACAGCGCATGTGCATACATGACTGCACTAACAGGGAAAACTATGCCCTCTGGTGGTGAGAATTGCGCTCACTGCTGCTTCTTCAGAAGATGCAGCATGGATTATGGATCTGTTATGATTGCTGCTGCAAAAAACATTAAATCTCACTGTACCAGTAAAACAAGCCATGGTTATATGTTATGCGTTTGTGCACAGAACTGAAACAGCACAACTCCAAAAAGCAATAGCTTATAAATCCAACGTCTTTATATAAAAGAGTTGGTCCAGTCTGCTGTATAAATTACATTAATAAGACTGTACAGAGTTCAGTAAAGTAGGGGCAGCTTCAGTAGAAATCTTTACCATGGTCTCTAAACCATCATGAATGACAAAAATCTGCATCCTGAACATTGTTCTTGCAGTAAACTGTGCTGTTGTTCCCTGGGGGGCAGTCTCTGAAACCGATGCCCCCATTAGGGGTGTAAATTGGCTGAATGTGAAAATCCCCCTTGAGGAGCTGCTCGTTGTTGAGCGAGACTATCTGGAAGCCTGTTTCTGTCATTTCCAGGAGGGAATTGTCTTTCTTGGTGCCCGCCTCGCAGTAGTCATCTTTTCTACGTCCCCGGTTGTATTTCCACTCAGAGCGGCTCTTTCTGTGCACGTGCCAGCAGAAGATGCTGAGCAGGAGCACCAGCACCACGATCACAGCTCCTCCGATTAGCCCGGCCAGCAGGAACGGTGAGTTGGACTCTCTCTGCGTGGCCTGCTCCGGCTCGGATCGTCTGTTGTTGTTATCGGGGCTGAAAAAGGCTGCGGTGGTCACGGCCTCCGTGCACACCGAGTCGTCCTTGGGCCTGTAGTTATTAAAAGCATCCAAGGGAATGACACAGATCCGATACGTGGACTTTGGTTCAAGATTAGCCAGTCGTATTCCCCGATGATCCCCACCCACTATCCTCTCTCTGACCGTGTCGCCGGTCAGACTGGGGCCCATCCTGGCCCAGGTTACCTTGTAGGCAGTGACTGGAAACAAAGCCACCCAGCGCACTTGAATAGCTGACCCGTTTAAAATGGTGAAAGTGACCTGCAGGGGTTGTTTAGTCCTCATCCCCTCTTCCCGTGTTGTGTAGATGGAGTAGAGGGTTGGAAACGTGGGGATGGGTCTTCTGGAGGAGAAGGAGGATGAAACATGTCGAGGGAGCACAGTGGAGTCTGTGGAGGCAGAAAGAGACGGATTCAAAGTAGCATCAGGCAAAGAAGTGGCCACCGAGCACTGAAGCAGATCAGCACTCAGCTCCCTGATCACCATGCCCCGGAACCTCTCTGGTTTATGGCACATGAAACCACGCACGTTCAGTGAAGCGGGCAGAGATTTGAGCCACGACACCACCCATTGCACGCTGCAGTCACAGAGCCAGGGGTTGTTCCGGACGGTGAGCTGTTTGAGGCTCACAAGGCCATCAAACACGCCTCGGGGCAGCAGATGCAGCAGGTTGGTAGAAAGATCCAGCCTTTCCAGCTTGTGCAAAGCTGCAAACGCTTGCACGGGGATCTGGTTCATTTGATTTTCCTGGAAGTTTAATTTAACAAGCACCTCCCCAGGGAGGAACGGAGGAGGGTAGGTCAGGGAGTTACGGGCCAGGGACAGCTCCCTCAATGTGACCAAGTCCTGAAAGGTTCCAGGTGAGATCCCTTCATCCGTCAGCAAGTTTCCATCCAACAGCAGACGCTCCAGTCTAGTGACATTCTCAAACGCCTCCTCTGCAATGATTGCAATCCGGTTCTCATCCAGCCTCAGCTCTTTCAGATCATCTGGGAGACCGATGGGCACACTGCTCAGGTGGTTTTTGGTGAGGAAGAGCATCTTCAGGCTCACAGCTTCACGGAAAGCCCCGTCTTCCACCCCAGCAGTAGAAATTGAGTTATCATCTAAATGCAGCTCCTCCAGCCAAAGAAGCTGAGCCAGAGCTGCTCTGGAGATGGTCTGGATGTTGTTCTCCTGTAGATGGAGAACTTTGACATTTTTGGGCAGGTTAATGGGGAACTCGTCCAGCTCGTTGCCATAGAGATACACCGTTTCCACAGAGGCCACATGGTGGAGCTCCAGGGGAAAGCCGGCGTTGTTGATCTGATTGTTGTGGAGGTAGAGGGTTTTGTAGCCCTCACCGATCCCCAGAGGCGCTGAGGTCAGGCTCCGCTCATTGCAGTAGACAAACGTCCGATCACAGCGGCACTCTTTGGGACAGCTGGAGGCTTGCGACGACTTAAGATGAAGGCCTAGCAGTAAAGGAATCCATAGTTTTACCAAGGAGGTCCAGTCCTTACTCCATAAACACCACTGTCTCCCCATTTCAAACAAAATACCAGAATAAAATCAGACAAATTACCAGCATGGAATAAGAATCAGGGTTTCCAGCAGAATAATCTGTAGGTTTTGACTGCTGTGTTAAAACCACCATTGTGTCCAGACCGGTGCAGCACATGGTTCCTCCGTAATTCCTTAGTGATATCCACCGCCTTCCATTTCTGAGTTAGTTTTGTATCCTCTCTGTTCACTGAGCAGAACTCAAAGCGCGACAGAGCTGTGAGCTGCGTGTCCGACGCTGCTTCCACAAAAATCAAACTCCTCTCCGGCTTCACATGCTGCAGAAATAAGGAAGAGAAATCACTTTTAGTTTTCTAAAATACTTGTTTTTATCCTTTGCTAGCAAAATTAAGAACACAGAGTAGAAGAATGACTAGTTAAAGCTGGAGCAAAAGACTAATTGAAGTTGTGTGGACCTTTACTTTGATTACTGGGAACCATCAATGTCCTGAATTTAATAGAAACAGTTAAAAAATAATTACAATGTGTTGCTTAGACATATTCACAGGATGAACAAAGGTTACTTTATAAAACAAGAGATTCATCTCCAAAGTCACATTCCTGTCGTGCATTTTTGCTGAAGTCAACTTTGCATTCCTTTCTGTGCAGGACTCATTAAGTTTGGTGTTGCTGGAGAAGAGGACTGCGTGAAGGTGATGAACGCAGCCTGTCAGCAGAGATAAGATGAGACAAATTCCTTGCACAGGAACAAAACTAAGATCGATGTGGGCCTCTCTCAGAGAGGAAAGGTGCTGCTGTGACTACAAGGTCAGAACGTTTAAACAACGTGGAGAGAGTTTCTTCATCACTGCGGGATGAAAACACGAAAACTGAACCAAAATCAAGAAAATAAAACATCATCCTGGAGAAGTAATGAGCTCAGATGATGCTTTCACTGTTAGCTGGGTAGAAGTGATGAAAGAGGAGTCTCTGGACAGATTTTATTGATTTCTGGCCAAGACAGCTCAATAGTTATGTAATGATCTGGGTGTGGGTGTGGGGGGCAAATAAGCCATCAAACTGAGTCCAATTGTGATGACTGCGGTTCCGACCAGCGGGTCTCCAGCATCAGATCTGCATGAGGAGAATTCCTGCGTCCTGCAGAGCGCAGCGTCCCAGTTTGGAGGGGAAGCAGGATTTATTGGATCATTGCTCTGCACATTTTAAATGATTATTTTAGCTTTTCTATTTTACTTATTGTTGAAAAATAAAACACTATCAGGAAGATTAAATTTGTGGATGCTTATTCCAAATCTTCCTTAGCACGTAAAAGAAAACTGTTGTTAAAAGCACATGAGTAAGAGATATTCAGAGGTGGTTTTGAATGTCTCACCTTCAGCACTGCAGAAAGTCTCGCAGCTTCACACCGACCCAGTCCGCCCTCCTCCCCGCGCATAGCTGCGCTCACAGCCGGCACACAGTCCGCATCGTGCCAGCAGCGTCCCGCCGCTCTGGAAGTGTGTGCATGATGGTTCTGACCCGCTAATCAGTCGGGACCATTCAGGTCAGCAGCGGCATGAACCGCATCTCCCCCCGGCTGCTCCAACACTCTCACACCGCGTTTCATGCGCCTGTGGCCGGCTGCGTTGTTCCGGGGGCAGCCGGTGAAGTTCCGCTGCTGCCTTCAGAGGAGGACCGGGGGCCACGGAGCGGGAAAGGGGGCAAAGTCAAAGGCAGAGGGGTCCATACATGGTGGACACTACTGAAGGATGCCTGGTCCTGGTTCTGATCCTGATCCCCCTTCCAAGGGTCTGTGCCCACGCGCGCACTCTCTCTTTCTGCGTCTTAGGCTCTCTTGCTTTGCTCTTACATCCTCTGCTCCTCCTCCTCCTTACCGCGCGCGCGCGTGTGTGTGCATTTTAATCCCCTGAACTAATGACTGTCATCAGAAAAAAACAGAAGAAAACAATGAAACATCTAAAAATCGATCCCGAACAGGAGCTCAGTCAGACTGCAGGGGCGTTGTTTTTAATAAACTGGGGGCTGCAGCCCGTAAAACTTCTGATTTTCACATAACAGCTGCATCATTTTCAAGCTAGTTAAGACTGAATTTATAAGGTGCTATTTGCAGACACTTGCAGCTTTCAAAGCACAATAAAAGACACATTAATATGAAACCATAACAAACATTTTTTTAATTGAATCGAGGTGCCCAACTAATTTAAATAAACATTGTTCAACTGTTAAAAGCCATAATATTCATTAGCTGCTGAGATGTAACTGTGCGATGGAAATCAGTCATAAATTAAACTTTATATTCACAAATAACTTTTGTGTTTTTGCATTATTTTAATATGTATTAATAAATTAGTCAAATGCAATCGCTGATTTTTGTACATTTTTGTTGTTGTTGTTGTTCTTGCCCAGCTGAGGGACAGCCACCAGGTGATGGTGAGGTGAGCCTCACCCAGAGGTGAAGCTTTGTATCTTCATGTGCTGTCCTCTGGTTCTCCTGGTCTCACTTCTTTTTTTCTCTGGATACATCAATGCAGCAGAATCCACCAACATCCTTTGTGAAACTTCCCATTTACTGTTTTTTTTTCTTTTCTGTTTGGTTTATTTAGTTATTTTGTGAGACATTATAAAGTTTGTTCGACTACTCAGTGAAATCGTCATTGATTTTTACAGTTTGGACAACAAAGCTTCTGTAGTGTACCTGCGTTGGACTTTCCTGTCTGTTACTTTAAGATATGATTCAAAAGAAATAACTTGAAAAAACTGGTTTCAAATCTGCATCGGTTTCAGTTTATTTGTATTAGGCTTTGTCTGCATTTCCGTCTGCTGAAACACATTTAATGAAGGTCCTCCAGTGAAAAATCCAATAGAAGAATTTGTCTCTTTATTGTACAACACCCATATTTTTGAGGAGATCTGTTCTATAACTACTGTTGATTAGAGGACACTGCATTTGGATGAGTTCATCTTTGATCAGGAAACAGAATCTGCTAAGGAGCTCAGTGGGTTTACCATGGAAACGGAGACAGGTTAACAGCATCTGTTACCATAGAAACAGAAACAAGTAGGTTCACAACATGTTACCATAAAAGCAGAGACAATTAGGTTTACAGCATCTGTTACCATAGAAGCAGAAACAAGCAGGTTTACAGCATCTGTTACCATAGAAACAGAGACACTAAGTTTACAGCATACACTACCATACAGATGGAGAAAAGTAAGTTTACAGCATCTGTTACTATAGGGACAGTAACTGGTAGGTAGGTTAACAACATCTGTTACCATAGAGACAAACAAGTCAGTTTACAGCATCTGTACTATAAAAACAGAAACTGGTAGGTAGGTTGACAGCATCTGTTACCATAGAGACAGAGACAAGTCAGTTTACAGCATCTGTTACTATAGAGGCCGTAAGTGGTAGGTAGGTTGACAGCATCTCAGTCAGTCAGAGATTCTTTGTCGTTCGCACCTCATGTGGTACATGTGGTGGAGCGAAATTATGTACACAGGCTCCCAGTTACATCCAACAATAAAATGTATAAGAAAACAGTAATAACATCTATGAACTATGAAAAACATCAACTAAAAATACACTAAGCACTAATAGCATAAAAACATTACGTCGAACAGCAGCACGAACATGAGCATGAGTCTGTGTGAGCAAATGAGCACGCATGAACACATCAACATGAAACAGATCAGCAGGCAAACGGGTCAGTTTACAACATATGTTACTATAAAAACAGAAACTGGTAGGTAGGTTGAGAGCATCTGTTACCATAGAGACAGAGACAAGTCGGTTTACAGCATCTGTTACTACAGAGACAGTAACTGGTTGGTAGGTAGGTGTTCAGTATCTGTTTCCATGGAACCAGAGATAGGTAGGTTTGTTTACATATGTTAGCTTGGAGACTAAGGTGATGTGACCTGAAACTTATCCTAATTCAGTTTTATTCCAGAGAATGTATCAATTTGGAACAGCTCCGTCCATCAGGCCGTGAGGATGCTGAACTCTCTGCCTGCCCCCCC